ATTTGGGTTTCAGTGATTCCTCTCGGTTACATTGCCCTTGATCAAGCCCTACCAGGCCTCCTACATCTTCCTTGCTGTCTATTTTGGATCACTTATTGTTCCCTTGTCCCTGGGGTTGTTAGCACCCACTTCCTTTCCCTTGCCTCATCCTCTCTCATGTCCCCCCAGAACCGTTGGTCTCGCTGTTTTTTCCTCCAGATTGTTTATCCCACCTATCTTATCGAGATAGCCCTGCAGAGATAATAATATGCACAAAAAACAAGACAGAGGAAAACAAAGCAACAAAAGAAAACAACAACAAAACCAAGGACAAAATAAAAGCCTGTAAATAGTTCAAGGTCTGTTTATTGACCCTTAGGAGTGTTTCCTGGTGAAGTCTGATGGGGTGCCACACCCTGGCCCCAGAGTCTATTTTTGGTATTCCCTGGGGACTTCATTGCTCTGTTCCCCTTGCTGTTCTCTATTCCCCTTGCTGTTCTACTGCACTCCCTTAGTGTTTCGCCTCAGTGTGGTCGGGTCAGATCAGACACAATTCCCGTACTGTGTCTTCAGTGTTCCCGTAGCGCTATGGGTCAGTGAGGGACATTGTGTCTTGTGGTGGTGCTGGCCTTATGGTCCTCTCTTTCCTCTCTGCTCTGAGCGGGAATATTTTCTTCAGGGCTTGGTGGGCCAGGATGTGTTTCACTCTCTCTTCCTCTCCCTTCATTTGCTCCTGTCTGAGACTGTTAATCTTTATGGTTGTAGAAAGCCCCTTCTTTCTCCTAAGGAGTGGCTGGTAGTTTCAAAATGCTGACCTTGCAGTTAGCAGCCCAACTTGTAACCACTATGCCAAGTGGCTACATGAAAGCCTAGTAGATATCAATAGCAGGGTGTGTTAGTCTGGGTACTTTAGAGAAACAAATCCACAGAAACTCATGTATAAGAGAGAGTTTTATATAAAGGTTAAGTGCGCTTCAAGAAAACATCCCAACCCAGTGGTGCCCAAGCCCACAAGTTCCAATATTAACCCGTTAACCCATATGCCCAACACCAATCCACAAAATCCTCCTCTATCTCACAAAACAGACGCAACGATGCCCTCTGCAGGAGGAAAGCCGAGTCAGTGAATGTGTAAGTATTTCAGCGCTGGTAGGGGTCCCAACACGGCTGCGCCAGCACCCAGGGCAGCATCGGGGTAGGTGCATGTAGCTTCTCCTTGGGGATGTCTTGCAGGAAGTGAGCCTTGCAAGCTAAAGCAGGAAACTGGCTAAGGCACCTGCACCCTGGTCCGACCATCAGAAAGCAAGAGACCCGAGAACTCGAAAGGCCAGGCTCTCACCGAGCCATTTATCTCTCCGCCCTTCAATTAACTCCACATGTGTTTATCAGCCAGGTTAGCACAATAAACTAACTACCTCTCAGGGTTTTAGTCATTTGTTCTTACCTCTACCCAGGAAGAATTAGAGGCCTCTGAGCATGACTAATAAGTTGGGCTTGATATCTGATTAAATTCGCTCATGCCTGTTTTTAAACCGGTAGTGCATATTACTAGTTACTTCACTTGACTTCTGTGCATAGTGTCTACATGAGGTAAAAATGGTAGTACTGTGATTGAATTTGGCCTACAAATATGTTTTATTTGGTATGTAAAGTGTTTTATAAAAATTAAAAAAAATTAAAGCCATTGTGTTTTAAAAGAGAGATTTTACACAAAAATTCAGATTTTTGGCTTCTCTTGGAAAAATAGGCTGAGTAATACTAGATTTGAAGTCTTACATAGCAAAAAGAAAACAAAAAAAAAAGCTCTTTAGTCCCACTTCTTTTTTTTAATCATTTCATTGGGGGCTCGAACAACTCTTGTCACTATACATACATTGATGGTGTCAAGCACATTGTACACTTGTTGCCATCATCATTCTCAAAACATTTTCTTTCTACTTAGCCTTTGTTATCAGCTCCTCATCCCCCCCCTCCTTTTCTCCCTCATGAACCCTTGATAATTTATAAATTATTATTATTTTTCATGTCTTACACTGACCTTGATAAGGTAGAACTGGGATCATGATAGTGGGTGGGGAGTAAACATTAAAGAACTAGAGGAAAGTTGTCTATTTTATCAGTGCTATACTGCAAGTCCCCCATTCTTTATCCAAAACCTGGTCGCTCATTTTGCCAGTCTCCACTTCTTTGTCTTGTACCCCATGCTGCTACTATAGTGCTTTCTACCTGCACTCCCCATTCCACCCCTTCATGAGCACTAGTGATTCAGAGTTCTCTGTGTAACATAAAGAAATTACAATACAGATCCTTTTGCGGCAGGTTAGAATTGCATTAAAGGGAAAGCTGCTTTAGACTTATCCCAAATTTTTATAAGAATGTTTCTTCCACCTCCTGCCCCTTCAAACAGCTCTGTGAAACTAGAGTTGGGTTGTAGTACATAGGTAGGTCAGTACATTGATCAGAGAAAATAAATACAATTCTAACTTCAGTAAGATAGAAGTAGATTTAACACTTGATGTTTCCCATTCCCCAGTAGGACTTGGACACGAAGAATAAGCAAACAGCTGCAGTAGAGCTTTGAAAAAGAGGAAAGTTTGGTATCCACAACATTCAACCAGATTCACTCATTAAATCAATTCTGACTCATAGCCACATGATAGAACAGGGTAGAACTGTACGTGTGGGTTTCTGAAACTAGCCCTTTATGGAAGTAGAGAGCCTCATTGTTCTCCCGCAGGGCTGCTGGTGGTCTCAAACTGCTGACCTTGTGTTTAGCAGCTTAATTTGGAACCCACTAGGACTTCTTGGTATTACAAAGCTTACTGGGAGATAAGTTATAAGGGACTCTTTTAAGTTGGTCAATATTAGATCTTTTTTTTTTAACAGTTTTATTGCCATATAATTCACATGTCACATAATTCAATCATTCATTCATATCAAAAAGAATTGTGTAATCATCACCAGAATCAATTTTAGAACATTTTCTTGTACTCGTCTGTATTAGCTCCCCATTTTCCCCATATCATTGTATGTTAAGTAATTGGGTATGTGAGCTCAATTACAGTATATGTAAACATGCCAAAATATTGTTATTTCTAGTGAAAACGTAGAATTGAAGATGATCAAAAAGGAGGATAGTGCTCCACTTGAAGACTTTCAAACTAAGACCGAATATGAGATTGAAGAGGAAGAAGAGGAGGATTATGATGAGGATGATGATTGGGACTGGGATTATGGAGTTGGGAAACTCACAAAGGGTTATGCATCCACTGCAGGGAGTAACTCACAGGTATGTTATAAATGATCCATTAACATCTTTAAGCTGGTATATCTTTATAAGACTTTCCATTGAGCTCTTATTGATGTGGTTCCAGAATCAGTATCGTAACTGAAGTATTTCTCACAGGTTAGGCTATAATACACTGTACCTCCAGCCTAATCAAGAATATTTGTTAAAATTAAAATAGCTTATAATTAATTTTAAAAATATTAAGATTAAGAGTTTGGATAGGAATATACATATATAGGAAAATATTCAATGAGACAGGTTAGTACAAAAGATACAATGAGACAGGTTAGTACAAATGGTTGAGAAACATGAAAAGGTTCTCAACCTAATTTAGTAATTAAAGAAATATTTAAAAATAAAAATAAAGATTAAATAATTAGATGTGCCTGGATAGCCATTTTTTAAATCCGAGAAACTGAGAGTGACACAAAATATATAATTTGATAACTAATTATAAATAAGCACAATGTGATGAAACTTATACAATTTTGACTCAGCAGTTCTTCTAAGCATATGTCATGACTTAGTTGTAGCAATGATCATCCAGTATTATTCATAGTGGAAGAACGTTAGAAACAACTCCGAGTCCCAACCATAGCAAATTGGTTTAAATTTACTATGAAATTAATCATTCACACAATGGAATATTATATAGTCTTAAAACATGTTGCAGTTGAAGGCTTCCCTGCCGCTGAGTCAATTCCAACTCTTAGCCACCCTAAAAGATAGAGTAGAACTACCCCTGTGGGTTTCCAAGACTAAATCTTTACAAAAGTAGAAAGCTTTATTCTCTCTTGGTGCTGTTGGTTTTGAACTTCTGACTTTATGGTTAGTAATCTAGTGCACAACCCACTATGCCGCAAGAGTTCCCAATTGAGGGTTTAAGGACATGGAAATATACTCATAATCTACCATCAATTCACCAAACTGTATAGATCCTGGTTCTAAAACTGCAAGTACTAAGGGTGTAGGAATTCACAGAACCAGAGGATTATTATCATTAGAGTGCATCTTCCTGGAACATAAAAATGACTGACAGGTATGTAGGGGGAAAAGACAGTGTTCTTTTACTCTTAAAGCAGCTCTACCATGGACTCCAAACCTCACTGCCATCTAGTCTATGCTGACTTAATAGTGACCCTATAGAGCAGGGTAGAACTGCCTCGGGGTTTCCAAGACTAAATCTTTATGGGAGTAGAAAGCCTCATCTCTCCAGCAGTAGAAGTGGCTTCAAACTGCTGACCTTGCTGTTAGCAACCCACTGAGTAGCCACTATCCCACCAGAGCTCCTTATCATGGACTAGAATGTATGAATTTATAAAATAAAGACATTTCACATTTGTAGCCTTGTTTTGGGATCCCCCTCCTTTAACAAGAGATTGTGGAATTTCAACATAAAGTATAATCCTTTAGGGTAGAGGAAAGTGGGGTGGAAGCCTAGAAAAGGGACTGAAATTATGTTTACATGTTGTTTGTGTGCTGGGGTTACAAGTGATTTTTTTTAACCTTTTTTTTCTATCATGAATGTGTATATTTTAATCAAAGTATTTTAAAGTTAAATTTAATACAGATTTTTAAAAAATTCTGTATGAAAAAGATAGAACTCTGCCTGAGAGTTTCATATCGAGACACAAGATTGACAACTGAAGACAGATTGAATAAGTAGTTTTTAGGCTCTAAGAGATTCTAGTGTTGAAGTTTCATTCTTATTCTTACACAAGGTCCAAAATAAGATTCTTAGAACCAGTTTAATGTTAGTCTTAACATATGTACTGCAGGGGACGGGCTATGTGTGCATGTGTTTGAGGGCTTTGTTTTAAATCTGCAGACCAGTCAAATTAGAAAACTTATTTAATTTTAATTTTTTATTGTAGATAAAGAAAAGGCCCCAGATTCTGTACACTCATTGTTCTAGTCAGTAACTTCAAACTATTCCTATTTCAAGTGTCTTTAAAAAATTGTTGCGTAAACGTTATTGATTCTTAGCTCTCTTAGGGTACTGCTAAATGCTGGAACTAATAGCTAAGTAAGAAGTAAGTGGAAGAAATGTGATGATAATTTTTTTACAGCTGTTGGCTTTACACTATGTAACTATTTTTTTAGGCAAATCGTCTCACTTCTAACTGCAGCTCTGCCAAAATGTCTACTCCAGCAGATAAGGTCTTACGGAAATTTGAGAATAAAATTAATCTAGGTGAGTTTACAAACTACATTACCTCATTGGGCTATGAGAAATTTCTTTAAAAACCATGAAATGTTACAGTTTTATTATACGTGAGTAGATCCAAGCATTGCTGGCGGAATAATAATACGTAGAGAAAATAAAAACTTTTAATGATTTTTCAAAAAACATGGCTTTTTGTCTCATCAGTTATAAGACTGTTATAAGAACTCATTCGAGTTCTTGTTTTGTATTAAATTTTCTAAATTGTTATATTTTGTTTTACTATAGATGTAAGCATTAGGTTATCATAAGCACAGAATTAAAATATTGACCGGAACTCACGCTCCTTGGAAATTGCAAAGTCACCTATCTTTTGTTTACCTAGATTCCTAATTGAGCTAGCATAGTGACTCATACAGGCTACCAGCAAGCACTGAATTAAGGAGTGTCTTCAGCTGCCTATCATGTGCCTGTAGTTTGAAATTAAACTGAAGTTTTAGGCATAAAGTTGGAATTCAGTCAATTATCTATTGGTTGTACAAAATTTTAGCAAGTGTCTAAAATGGAATGTATGCAGATAGGGTATTTTTTCAGGGATTTCTTCTAGGTTTCTATGGCTCCAAACTTAAAACTATAGTGAAGAAAGTAACAAAGCAGCTACACTTACTAACATTCTAGTTTATGCCTAGCATCAAAATTATTTAAAAATTCATTACTAAATAATTTCCTATTTGTAATGAAATATACAAATAAAAATATAGAAAAGAAGCAAGAGGGATGGAGTATCCTGTATTTCGGAGATTGTTAGTGTCTCTTTGTCTCACATATTGTTCTTTTTTTTTAGATAAGCTAAATGTTACTGGTTCTGTCATAAATAAAGTTACCGAAAAGTCTAGACAAAAGGAAGCAGATTTGTAAGTAACATTTTAATTATAAAACATGGCCCATGATTCTAAGCAAATCAAGCTGCATCTTGGTCTTCATTCTTTTTCAAGGAATGTTCATTTCTAGTCTCAAATCATTCACTTTTATCTTTAAAAACATTTACTTTTTTATCTTTTGCCTTTGGAAGTTGAAAATAATAAATGAGTCTTCTTCTTTTTTTTTTTTTTTAACATTTTATTAGGGGCTCATACAACTGTTATCCCAATCCATACACACATCAATTGTGTAAAGCGCATTTGTACATCGTTTCTCAGATAAATGAGTCTTCTTAAGCTATACACAATAACAATATAATCTTTTTTTTTTTTTTAACATAATCTTTTGAAATCCAGGGATTACATAAGGATGACTAGATTTCAGTCTAAACTAAAACGTTAAGAGTGTATAAGTGCTCCAATTTTAGATTTTATTAAAAATATCCTCTTCTACAAAATATTTTTAAAACCTCAAAATTAAAGCCAATTAGTGACCTACTGAGAGTTGTTTCCATTTATACTTCTGTTTGGCTAACTTTGCTAATAAGTTGACAACTCTAAGGTATTAATATCATTTCAGATCATGTAACTGGCAGTGTTAGAACTAAGGTTAAAACTAATTTTCTTGTGATTTAATGCTATGCCCAAGAGATACCAACTTTAAAAGAAATACCATAGTCATTTGTTATTTCACAGCAGAAGTTTCTGTTTAAATGGATTGTATTGTGTTACAATCTCTATTTGCATACCGTAGTATGCTAGATTGTCCCTTAGTGAATGAACTCTAACTAGAATCTGCATTTTGATTCTAGACTCAGACAGAAACCATCATGAAATGATAAACTATCTTTGTAGAAAGTAGTTAATGGAAAAGTTTTTTAAATTGACTTTTAATTCGATGTGGATAGAATGATAGAATCGGTAAAGATCTGAAGGATGGTACACACAGATTCCATGCTTTCTTTTCTCTGGAATATGTCAAGTTTGCTGAAGATAAATTTCTTTTTCTACTGCAAATATGTTCCTTTTTGCACAGGGCATTTGAATGTTTTAAAAGGGGACATGAAGATGGTTTTGCTGAGCCCTGAAATTATAATGGGACCATGAAATGTGTTCTCAAACTATCTGCTTAGGAATTTTCATGGGATGATTTACATTTATAAGCTGCATATTTTGATTTCTTTCACTGACTGTTGAACATGTCAACTGTACTTTGTGTTTTGGTTAGGTATCGCATCAAAGATAAGGCAGACAGAGCAACTGTAGAACAGGTACAATTAAATGTGTTGCAAATTCTTATTTTAAATTAGTGTTTCTTTTCTCTTAAAATAGTTTGCTTTTTCCTGTCATTCTTGCTTAATACTATGCTAGCTAACATGACTCCTCTGTAATTATAGGACTGCATTTTGCTTAAAAATGGCTATAGTCAATAGATTAGAGTTGTGAGCTGTGACCCTGTGAAACCACCTTTCTCTTTCAAAAGTATCTATCTGGGAATGTTCTCTCTTAAGTGAGGTCTACAGGTATTTTGTAAACTTTTCCAGAAGATAGAGTATCTGGCACAAAGCAGGTTTTAGGAGGTGCGAGGAAAATAAACTAGGAGGAGAGGTAAGGCTAACAAATTTCCAGTTAGAAATCTTTTTCCTTGTTTATAAATTATGCTGACTGGCTCGTCTCCTTTCCGCAGCCCTTCTGCAAGGGGATGTCTAATATCCCCCAGATGGGCTCTGGGTCCCTACTCCACACCCCCACTCATTCACAATGCTCTTGATTTTTTTTTTTTTTTAATTGTTGATACCTGATCTCTTTGACGCCTTGTCATCTCACAGGCTGGTGTGCTTCTTCCATGTGGGCTTTGTTGTTTCTCAGTTAGATGGCCCCTTGTTTATCTTCCAGCCTATAGGACCCCAGCTTCTATATATTTTGACAGCCGGGCACCATCAGCTTTCTTTACTGCATTTGCTTATGTACCCGCTTTGTCTTCAGCGTTCGTATCGGGGTAGGCTGGTGTGCTTCTTTCATGTCTTCACCACTTTTGCTTATGCACCCACTTTGTCGTCAGCGATAGAGTTGGGACAGGCTGTTATGCTTCTTCCATGTGGGTTTTGTTGTCTCTCAGTTACATGGCTTCTTGTTTATCTTCAGGTGTTCAGCGACTTCAGGTGCTCTATCTTTTGGTAGCTGGGCACCATTAGCTTTCTTCACCACATTTTCTTGTGCACCCATTGTTTTCAGCGATCGTGCCAGGCAGGTGAGCATCTCAGACTGCCTAATTGTTAGAACAAAGAGTTCTTGTGTTGAGGGAGTACTTGTGCAGGGGCCCACTGTCCATCTGTTTTCTTAATGTTCAACCTATAAATATATGTACATAGATCTGTTTCCCCCTCGTTGTATTTACATATATTAACATCGTTACATGCCTGTATTTAAATCTCTATGACTACCCTTTGCCTCCTAGTTCTTTCTTCTATTTCTTTGTACTTCTTGTCCCACTATCATGTTCTGCCTTCATTTGGGTTTTAGGAATTCCTGTCCGTTACATTGCTCTTGATCCAGCCCTGCTAGAACTCCCACACCCTCCTTGATACTGATTTTGGGTCACTTGTTGCTCCCTTGTCCCTGGGTTTGTTAACACCCTCTTCCTTTCCCTTGCCTCCCCTACCCCCATGTTCCCCTGGAACTGACATCCCATTGTTCTCTCTTCTGGCTTGTTTATTCCACCTATCCCTTCCAGGTAGACATGCTATGTACCATCACCAGACTGAGTACAATGAAGTAACAATAGAAAGTAAAGCAATAGCTACAACAACAGCAACAACACACAAACTCATACACAAATAACCATATGAATAGTTCAGGGTCTTTGTTTTCCTTCACGGGTGCTTTCCAGTCAAATCTGATCTGGTGCCATGTCCTGGCACCCCCTCTATCCCTGGGGACTTCATTGCTCTGCTCCCCCCGCTGCTCTCCTGCATGCCCCCAGAGGCTGGCTTCAGTGTGGTGAGCTCATGGCGGGCACAATTCCCGCCGTGTGTCTCTAGTGTTGTTCCCAATGGTGCACTGGGTCAATGAGGAACGCTGTGCCCCGTGGTGGGGCCGGCACTGTGGTCAACTCTGTGCATTGCTGTTCTGAGCAGGAACATTGTTGTCAGGATGTGCTTCACTCTTTTTTTTTTTTTCCCGTATCCCCCCTCATTGGCTCCTGTGTGCTCTGACCAGACCAGTCCTTCTTCCTCTCTTCTTGAGCTGTAGCTTCAGTGCTGTCCTCTGAAGTAAATCTTGGGGGGAGGGTGGTGCTGTACGCTTAGTTGGTAATGGGGCCGGCCCCTCAGTCTTCTCTATCGGTTCTCTGCTTCCTGTCAGTGTGTTGCGTTCTTGTCTTGAAGCTCCAGATGGAAGTCTGGTCCCTCTTTTCCTGTGGAAACACAATCAACATCCTTCCCTGTATGGGTTAGTGTCCTGTTCCCCCAGCTACCCATACCTCGCCCCCCTCCTTTTAATGGGCTACCATATGTATCCCATAAGTATCCCTGAGTTTAATATGGCCCCTGCCATATTACTTGGACCTCACCCCATGGACGTATGTATACAGTAGCTTCTTCCCTATGCCCCTTTTGAATTTTTTAAGCTTACCTCAGTGGACTCATGTAGTATTTCTCCTTTTGTGCTTGGCTTACTGCACTTAGCATAATTTCCTCCAGTTCTTCGCATGTGGTAATGTGCTTCATGCGTTCATCACTGCGTTTTAGGGATGCGTTATACTCCATTGTATGTACGTACCACAGTTTTTTAATCCATTCGTCTGTTGATGGAAGTTTGGGCTGTTTCCAATTCCTTGCAATTGTGAACTGTGCCATGATGAACATTGGGGCACAGATGTCTGGCCGTGGTTTGTTTTTTGTTTCTTCTGGGTATATGCCCAGTAGGGGAATTGCTGGATCATATGGTAGTTCAATTTCCAACTGTTTTAGATATCGCCAAATCGAATTCCATAATGGCTGTACATACCTACAGGTCCACCAGCAGTGGACAAGAGTTCCTATCTCTCCGCAATCCCTCCAACACTTGTTGCTTTCTGATTTTTTGAAGTGGGCTATCTTTGAGGGTGTTAGGTGGTGTCTCATAGTTGTTTTAATTTGCATTTCTCTTATGGCAAGAGATCAGGAACATTTTCTCACTTATTTATTGGCCATTTGGATTTCTTCCCTTGAGAAACTCCTGCTCAGGTCCTTTTCCCACCTCCTGAGTGGACAATTGGTTTTTCTCTTGTTGTAGCTTAGCAGCGTATTGTAGATTTTAGTAATAAGGCCTTTGTCTGATGTTTCATTGCTAAAGATGTTTTCCCATTCCGTGGTCTCTCTTATTACTCTCTTGGTGAATTCTTTCGATGCACATAAGTGTTTTTTCTTTAGTATATCCCATTGGTCAATTTGTGCCACCTCTGTGTTGGTGCCCTTCCTGATTTCTGATAGCCTATATGTAATCCCTGTGCCAGGGTTCTCAGGTTCGTCCCAATTCCCTCATTGCTGGCCCTAATAGTATGGGGTTTTACCTCAAGGTCTCTTGAGTTTGTTCTCGTGTATGGAGTGAGGTAAGGTCTTTCTTCATTTTTCTTTAGCTATGTATCCAGATTTTCCAGCACCATGATTTGAAGAGGGCATCCACTTCCCATCTGATATTTTTGGGTACCTTGGAAAGATCAGTTGTCTGTATGCTGATGATTTTATTTTTGGGTTTTCAATCCTTTTCCATTGGTCTGAATATCTATCATTATACCAATACCATGCTGTTTTGACCACTGTGGCTGTATAGTAGTTGCTAAAGTCGGGTAAAATAAGCCCTCCAACTTTGTCCTTCTTGAGGAGTTCTCTGCTGTCCCCCTCAGGGCCATGGGTCAGTGAGGGGCTGGCTATATTAGGTTAAGTATAATATATTAAAATCAATTTCATCTTTTTTCCAAGTGATGATGAGAAGATTTTAAATTGCTTAATTGCTTGCATTTTATTTCTATTAGCTAACATTGGTCTAGAGCTGATTTCTGTTTCCCTTGGACATGGTAACTCTTAGTTTCTATAGCTGAATCTGTTTATTGGTCCATTGTCTCTCTGGTTCTTTTGAAGTTCACCCACATTTTATTTATGAAAGTCAGGGTGAATAATGACACCATTTGAGTAACTCTCATTGAGCCAAGCAGGTGTGTTTGCAGGTGACTTGCGAGGGCTTTATTGAGAAACGATTTGGTTCCATATTTCTAACTTTCTTACTGTTTACATTAATTTTTCAGGTGTTGGATCCCAGGACTCGAATGATTTTATTTAAGATGTTGACTAGAGGCATCATCTCAGAGATAAATGGCTGTATCAGCACAGGAAAAGAAGTGAGCTTTTCTTTGGGTGGCCATATGTTTCCAAGTTTCCTCATTTTAGATACCAGAGGGAACTCAGGCATTTGTAAATGAGTGAGTTGCACCTTTAAGAAGAAAAATGAGGCTAGGGGAGATTCCGGTCAGGCCTGGGTGGCTTAATACACTTCCTATGTTTTTTGTTACCGGTACTGTATTGAATCATCAACTAGCTGTGCCAGACACTTAGTACAGATAATGAGATAAACCTGAGTCCTAGTCAGAAGTTAATAATTAAAAAAGAAGAGAAGAAGTTACTAATGGAAGGTGTCATGGGGGAATGGGGCTGGGGGTGGGAGATTGTCTCATTTCTATGAGTAATCCAGTATCCCAGGTTTTTCTTTTTATAAATATATGAGTGTGGAAAAGATAGCTAGTAACTAATCCTTTGGGAAGCATTTCTCAGTAAAATTCAATTTGCAAATTACTTGATGTAAGAATGAATGTCTTCAAATAGTCTCCAAATATTTAAAGTACAAAAAAAGGGATTAAACCATTTCTCACACATATTTAACATGTAAATTGGTGATATCTTTATATCTTTTGGTATGTTGTTTCATATTTTAATTCTTACCTTTAAAACCTAGTGACGTTTCTTATGCATGGTCTCTCAGTAGCTATTAAGTGAGTACCCCGACACAGGGAAAACGGGAAAAACATTTTTTTTCTCTTAAGGAAAACCGAGTAGAGGAGGGTGGTAATGTTAAAGATGTAGAGCAGGATAGGGTAGTAGAACTTAGATCAGAGTTCCCGAGATTCATTTAAGGGGATGACTGGAATCTCTGGAGACCCTGGCACTTGAACCTTCTCCCAGAGATGGAGTTCAAGGGGAAGTTGCTGAGTGCCTTCTGTGGGCCAGCACCAGAGGGAAATAGAATTAAAGGGACTTCTTTCTCTTTAAGGTATTTTTCATTTTACAATAATTTCAATAGTGACAGAAAACAGAATAGCTAGGTAAGACTTATTGCTTCAGTAAGAGGTCAAATTTTAATCATAACAATTTATGTAACACCTATTAAAACTTTATTACTGTATATACTCGTGTATAAGCCAAGTTTTGAGCATATTTTTAATGCAGTTTTTGTGGTGAAATTAGGTGCCTCGGTTGGTATTCAGGTCGGCTTATACTCATATATATATAGTATGTTTTCATGGAGGCAATATAATGTAAAGGTTAATTTGTGATTTAGGAGCTAGCTATGAGCTTGAATTCTAACTTCTGTTTCCTAGCATTGTGGTTTGGCACACTTCACTCATTTACTGCGCCTCTGTTGTCATTTCTGTGAAGTGAGAACTTTCATAATAGCTGTGCATTGGGATATTGTGAGATCTAAGTACTTGTGACATTCTTAGCATTTTATATGACATCGTCTGTAATTAGAGTGGTTAGTTCCACTATCTTACTAACCCTAGGATCTTGGTATTGACTTTTGAAAGTAGAACCATATAATAAAAAATAAAATACTGTTTGTAGCTATCTAACTCAGACTTTATTTTTGGCTTAAAATAGGCTAATGTATACCATGCTAGCACAACAAATGGAGAGAACAGAGCGATCAAAATTTATAAAACTTCTATTTTGGTGTTTAAAGACCGGGATAAGTATGTGAGTGGGGAATTCAGGTGAGCTTATGTATTTTTCCCCCCCATATTGGTTTAATTTCTGTTGCCTTAAAAATTAAAATAGAATAATGGAATGGTTGAAATAACTATTTTCTTGTTTAAGGTTTCGTCATGGCTATTGTAAAGGAAATCCCAGAAAAATGGTGAAAACTTGGGCAGAAAAAGAAATGAGGAATTTAATCAGGTGACTATCTGGGAACTTGTGTGGTTGTGCCAGCCTGCACTTTGACCTTAGCCCATTTCTACTGCCAATCCCTGAGGAGTTCTGTCCAAATACCAGACTCGTTAGGGTTAGCCAGTGCCATTAGATTTGCCTTGGTAAGCAGAAGAAACACGTTTCTGGACACCATGCTTGCATTCTGAGATACCTTTACTGAAGAATTCTGCCATGATTCGTGTTTATTCAATTCAGTAAGGCGAGTGCAATTAAAGAGTCTTAGAAGCTGAGTTAAAATGTTTGCATTTTTTTCTGAGTAATAAGGAACTGTTAAAGGGTTCTAAACAGGGAAGTGACACAGTTGGTGCAGGTGATATGTCACTTTGTGAAGAGCTGTTGATGGTCTAGACAGATTTTGTTTGGTCCAAAACTTTGGCTTTTAGAGCGTACTCTTCAGATTTTAACCCAGTTTTAGATATATATTATTTTTGTTCCCATAGTCACCTATGTGTTGGGTAAAACCTCAGCCTAGCTGAAATTGTGTTTCCTCAAATTGTTCCTTTCTAATATCTTACATTTTCAATGTTGAACACCACATGTTCTACACATTGAATAATACTGATCAAGTATTCTGTGTTTTCAGGTCTTTCTGAAATCTCTTTTCATTTAATTAGCTAATATGTGTGGGTCCATCTATTTTTATTATGCATTTTTCTGACTGATCAACTCAAAAGATAGCTGCAGATATGTCCGCTGTATTTCACTGATTCTAAGATGCACATTTTCTTATAGTTGGCTATCTCTGGAATTGGATTGGATGTTACAGCTTATGGAGTGATATAGTTCAGTTACTATCTCTAATCACTCTTGATGATATATATATATATATATCTTCTTATATATTATGTGTGTGTGTGTGTAATGGTGCCTTATATATGTGTTGGTGCTGTAAAGTTAATGCAGTTACAGTAAAGTTAAATACAGTAATGCAGTTGAGAGGCCAAGATTAACACAGTGTTAATCTTGTGTGCTCTAGCTATCGTAATTTGTTTCAGTTTCTGTTTTGACTTCTTGATTGTCCTTATATCTGTTAACATATGACAGGTTAAACACAGCAGAAGTACCATGCCCAGAACCTATAATGCTAAGAAGTCATGTTCTTATCATGGGTTTCATTGGAAAAGGTGACATGTAAGTATATGGAGGATCTCAGGGTTATATGCTTGGGACTGTATTTTTAAGAATTTTGAATTATCCAATATATGAATATTTTCCACTCATAGGCTCTTTTATCTTGAGATTTTTGGGGGATGAGTTTTTCCTATTTTCTTAGTGCATAAATGCTATAAATTTAGAATGGTATGTCTGAAGCGAGACAGGCTGTGCTACGTGCAGTTCACAAGATAAGTTGTGGAACAGGAGTGCATGTAATTAATTGTTCAGCATTAAGAAAGAAAATGTGTTCTGGGTCAATGTGTTTTAGTTATTCATTATATTTTTATTCAAGGCCTGCACCACTCTTGAAAAATGTCCAGTTATCAGAATCCAAAGCTCGGGAACTATACCTGCAGGTAATTGAGTACATGAGACGGATGTACCAGGATGCCAGACTTGTCCATGCAGATCTCAGTGAATTTAACATGCTGTAAGTGTGTGCGTTCCCTCAGGAACTTCTAGCGGTTGTTTTCTGTTCCTTAAAAATATAAGCAAAATGCCAGTCTTAAATGTTATACTGGTTCTAACATTTTGGCATTGGCTTTTACACAGTAATAGTATCAAATGTGGTCTCTGCCTTCATTGACTACAGTCAGAGTCACACTTTGATAATTTATAGAGGTAATGAACCTGCATTTTTCTTGTACTCATCATTATTAGCTCCCCATTTCCCCCCAGCCTGCCCTGCTGTACCCTCAAGGAACTATTAATCCAGTTACTGTCTATAGATTCACCCATCCTGATTTCTTCTACTGGGAACATATACAAAAATACAAACCAAAGAGTCAAAAATGCACTTAGAACTTAAAACATTTTTCATCTCTTACTAAGGTATTCACAATATAATAAAAAATTAGCACAAAAATTAAAGTAGCATTAGCATTTCCTAATAGCTTCTCTTCTCTCATCCACAAGGTACAATAATGGAGATGTGTACATCATTGATGTTTCTCAGTCTGTGGAGCATGACCACCCACACGCCTTAGAATTCTTGCGAAAAGACTGTGCCAATGTCAATGGTGAGTGGAAACCTGGAGTTTTCTGACAACTTGTTTGTGTATGTTGGTTCTGTACTCAGTGAAACTGTTGATATAAAGCCCAGGGCCCTAAGTCATTAGGTGATGCCATTTGCTGGGAGGTGGTATATTTTTATTTCTTTATTGTTTTTAAAATAGTTTCTCTCATAATGCTATCATTAACATATTTTCTTCTGGCAGAATTTTTTCTGAAGCACAATGTGGCTGTGATGACTGTGCGGGAGCTCTTTGAATTTGTTACAGATCCATCAATTACACGTGAGAACATGGATGCTTATCTCTCAAAGGTTAGCTGGGAAAGAAAGGTGAAAAAGGAAAAGAACAAAACAGCAGTAGTAATGTATGTGCCGCTTCTGAGGAACTCCAATAACTTGGCATATATTTTATGAATTTAACAGCTTCCTCTGGCATTTTCTTCTGATTTCAGAAGTGGAAAATTTAAAATAGGGTAAATAAAACCAGGTTTCCTGCCTTTAATCATCTAGCAAAGTTACTTAGAATCTCAAAGTTAATGAGTGTTTATTAAGAAACCTACTAGCTTTTTGATCATTCCTTTGTTTTTCAAACAACTATCAGAATCTCAGAATTGGGACCATATAACATGTGCCTAAACAGGTTTTCCTGTTTTTTGTTCCTTTTTATGTACTTCCTTTCCCTGGATTGCCTCCTGTTTTAATCTTTGTTCAGTTGTTCTTTGCCTGGTGAACGTTTAGTTCAGTTTAGAATTCTTTCTTGAGGCATAATCCAGCAGAAATCATTAATCACAGATTGATCACAGATCAATTTCCATATCATATAACTTTATAGTTAAAATAGAAAATTAATGAACCTAGTGACACATTGATTAAAGCACTCACGTGAGAACTGAAAGGCCAATGGTTTGAAGCCATCAGCTGCTTCATGGGAGAAAATGTTTTAGCCTGTTTCCGCAAAGATTTACTGCATTGGAAACCCTATGGGGCAGTCCTACTTTGTGGTGTAGATCACTATAAGCTGTAATCAGTTGGCTTTCAGTGGGTTTGGCTTTTGATAATAAAAAGTAAGGATACTGGGTGGCACAACAGTTAAGCAATTAAGCATTCAGTTGCTAACTAAAAGGTTGGCAGGCCAAGCCTATCTAGCGAGAGGAAAAACCTGGCAATGTGCTCCTGTAAGGAAGTTCAGAAAACCCTACTGGGCAGTACTGCTCTGCCGCATGGGATTGCCCAGAGGCAGGAATCCAGCCAACAGCATCTAACATCATCAGATAAATTGTCTCACTGTTTTAATTTCTTATTGTACGAAATTCTTTTTAAGTTTTCATCTGTATTAGACTGTGAACTCTTAAAGGACAGGAATTTTATTATATTGCCAGTGCCTAGTCAGTACTTGGCATGTGAGTTACTTGATAACATGTAATTTTTATTTCTCAGCTCTTTAATTTAGCACTAATTTGAGTCCACACTTAAAAACAAACTCTGGTATCACTGTTCTTTTTCTCTTTTCTTATATTTTAAGTAGAATAGAGAACATGTCTTCAGTGTTACAGAAGTGAAAAATTGAAAGAACCCTTTGGTATCTTTGTCAGCCTCTCAGTTTCATTCATTATGTGCTCAGAGAACTTTCTGTGGTTGTTTATACTATAGTAGCCTTAGGGCCACATATGCTAACATACATAGATTCAAGCAATGGTTCTTTCATTCTTTTTAAGTTACAGTTTTCCTTTGTAATATCTATCTGTAGGTGGAATGTAAAGGAAAATAATTTTAGGTTTTTTTTTCCCCAGGCCATGGAAATAGCATCTCAACGGACCAAGGAAGAAAGGTCCAGCCAAGACCATGTGGATGAAGAAGTAAGATTAGTTGTCTTTTCATATCCCTGGGAAATAGTTGTCTTTTGAGATCTTTTAAAATAACGATTTAATCATGAACTTGATTATAACAGATAAGCAGTCTTTTTAAACCAATACCATTTCCTTCAGACTTCATATGTTACATAATTTAACTGAGCCAAATTGTATAATTTACATTTCATTACATCACCCTATTTGGTAACTTCTTAGTCTATTGTCCTAGGTGGAGAACAATTTTTTAAGCAACTTGTTGAGATATAATAGTCCCTGGGTAGAACAGACAGTTAAGCACTGAACTACTAATGAAACGATTAATGCTTCCAACACAACCTTTGAAGGTGCCTTCGAAGAAAGGCCTGGTGAACTGCTTCCAAAAGGTCATAACCTTGCAAATCGTTTTTTGTTAAGTTTTGGGTTCTTTTGTGGGGCAATATAACTTAAGCACAAACCTGTTTTTTTCCTTCCTGTTTAAATTTGTGATTAAAATTGCAAATACAGAATTTTTAAGTATTGATTTCAGTAGCACTGCAGTTTTGAAATATGAGGGGGTAAGCGCCCCCCAAACAAAACAAAACAAAAAAAATGGGAAAAAGCTCTGCTGGACAGAGCTTTCCTAATACAGTTTTCCTGCTAAGCAAGCATTGAGCAACTGAGTTAGTGCACTCAGTGGCATTGCCTGGGAAGGTTTTCTCTGGTCACAGTGCATTTTTTCATGAAAGCAGTTTCGCTCAAACCTTGTTTTTTGTGATGGCTGAAGAAACTAATGTGATGTTGAACACAACTTATAAGAACAGTGCTATGGGAAAAAACTCAAGTATACGAGTGGTGCTCTCGTTTCAAAAAAGGTGAAATGTTGATTGATGACAAACCTCGTTCTGGACATCCATCAACTTCCCGAAAGGATGAAAACGTCAACTTCGTAGTGCATTTGGAATTTGTTCCACCAGGTCAGACTGTTCATCAAGCTTCCTATTTAGAGGTTCTAAAAGGATCACGTAACAATGTGCTACAAAAAAGGCCTGATTTGTGGCAGGGGGGGGACTGGGTTTGCCACTACGACAATGCACCTGTTTATGCAGCCATCTCAGTGCACCAGTTTTGGGGCAAAAAACAGTATGCATCTCTTGCCCCACACACCTTACTCACCTGACCTTGCTTCATATGACTTCTTTTTGTTTCCCCGAATGAAGAGGAGCATGAAAGAACAGTGATTTGATGATGTAGAAGAGGTGAAGAGAAAAATGAGGGAGGTTCTGTCAGCCACCCAAACACATGAGTTTGAAAAATGTTTCCAAGAATGGAATCACAGATTTGACAAATGTATTAAGTGTAATGGAGAGTACTTTGAAGGTGATAAGCTTGTTTTGTTAAAAAAATTTAAATACAAAGCTTTGAAAAAAAAATCTAGTTTTGTTGTTGTTGTTGTCCCCCTCATATTTATTCTCTGGTTAAAATAAACTATTTAGTCCCCTGCCCCAACTGTTGGTGTAATAGAGGAATATGAGATACCCTATATTCATCAGTACTTTGAACCTCTTTTTACTATAACAATGTGGTAGATGATGTTCCCATGCAAGAACATGTTCCTATGTGAGACATTGAATACTTAATATCTGAAACTAAGTCCCTTTTTTTTCTTACATAGAAATAATGCATTTTTGAATGTAAATAACGGGAGAGAAGATTTTCTAAGAGTTATTTTGAATCAGTTGTAGCCTTTTTCTGTAAGTGATCTACAAAATGTAGTGCTTTATTCTTGGTATTAAATTTCTTCTAGCTCATGTACAGAGTAGTCACATACATCAATGTGGTAGATGATGATAGGCTCCCGTAAGGCCTGAGGTACTGTTTGAACATTGAGACGTATGTGTACAACAGTTGCCACCTATTTCTCTGTGTCCTGGTTAGGTGTTTAAGCAAGCATACATTCCTAGAACCTTAAATGAGGTGAAAAATTATGAGAGAGATCTGGATATTATGATGAAGTTGAAGGAAGAGGAGATGGCCATGAATGCCCAACAAGATAATGTGAGTATCCTGGTTCGCTCACCTGTTTAGTCCTCTAATCTTAGATCTTGGCTTCTGGTCAACTGAGATGTCTAGTTCCCTGAGCTACCTGCATGTGAAGGGAATTCATTGGTATTTATGACAAGATGTAGCACATTTGTACAAGTCTAAATGGCTATAATTAAGAAAAAGGAAGGTTATAAACTTCGTATTGTAACTCCAATAATATACTTCTGAAGCTGGCAAACTTTTTGTTACAGAGCCAATTAGTTAGGCTCTGCAGTCCCAGAAATAAAATTGTATAGATCCTTATGCAAAGAAATCAACTTCCTACAATGTTTTTGTTGGTGACATTTAAAGTGTTTTAATAACGTAAGAACCATTCCTAAAAAAACCTCTGTGAGTCGGATATAACCTGCAGGCCATGGTTTGCTGAGTACATCTGGGGAAGAATATCTCCCATATCACCCACTTTGTGTGTTTTAGGATACATTCTAGACATTTGAAAAATAATCCCAAAAGAGATCATAAGATACCATCTTTAGATATCTAATGTTGGAAGGTAATATGTCACCGTCTAATTCTATTTTAATTCTTTTCTCTCTTTCTTGTGGTTGCAGATTCTATACCAGACAGTAATGGGATTGAAGAAAGATTTGTCAGGAGTTCAGAAGGTATGAAGAATGTGTGTTATGTTTATGTGAAAACTTTAAAAGACTATACAATTTTTCTAGTGGAACCATTATTAGAATTAAAGTAACCAGTACGTATTATTAGAATTAAAGTAACCAGTACGTATTTTATATTAGTATTAAATTGAAATATTTTCAAAGTCTTTAGGAATTTTTAGAAACGCAACAAAATATTGCCATTTTGTTTTAATTTCTTCTAATTGTATGACCTCAATCGAAAAGAAAGTAGAAAATATTAAAAACTAGAACAAAAGGGAGATCATATATTTTTAGCCGAACTGCATCTGCCATAATCTACTTTCCAATGCACTCTGCATGATGGCAAGGCTATTCACATCCCTGGTCCATGGTCATAGTGGAAGCTAAACCAGTCTGCGGACCCTGCAAATGGATTTTGGGCTTCCACTGTCCTTCATAGCCTTCTGCAAACCAGGTGTTCACAATTTAAGTTCTGATATCATTCCCTCCTTTGCATTTTGGATTCAGATGCTTTACTTAGATGGCTGCTTATTTGAAAACAAGCCTTTAAGACTCCAGACGCTATTCTTTCTGATAGTTGGGCACCCTCTGCTGTCTTCACCACACTTTGCTATAGTACCATATCTGTAGTGATTTCTTCTTGAGGGAGAGTATCTAGCAGAGCCATGTCATAAGAACTGATTGTTAGATTGGGGCTCGAATTAAGTTTGAGCCCCAAATACTGGGATTGACATTTATGTAGTATTGTCATGTACACAATCTCATATTATTGTCTGCTTTCTTTGTTCTTTGTTCACAGAAACCTCTTTACTATTTCTTGTAAGGTTGGTCTGGTTTTTATAAATTCCTTTAATTTTTCTGTCTTTTGAGGAAAAGCTGGCTGGTTATGTGATTCTGGGTTGGCATTTCTTTCTTTAGTTTTTTAATGTGTCGGCCCATTGGCTTTTTGCTTGCATGATTTCTTCTTAGAAATCAGCACATAGTCTTATTGGTTCTCATTTGTAGATAGCTTTTTTGTTTTTCCCAGCTAGTCTCAGAGTTCTTTCCTTAACATTGGTGTTGAAAGTTGTGATTATGATGCACGTGTTTTTCTTTTGGGAGCTGCCCTGTTTGGGGTCCTTTCAGCTTCTTGACTGTAAATCTTGTCTTTCATGCTGTTAGGGAATTTTTTTTCAATAGTTCTTTGATAATTTCTCTGTTATTTTGCTAAAGAGTGATGAGTATCTCTGGACGATAGTCTCATGGAGTCTTCTGTTCTCTACTCTTGCAGTCGAGCCCTTTTTGTTGGTTTGTTTTTAATAAGAATATGAATTCTACTTCATATTTTTCTGTTTCTGAGGTACCGATTATTATGTCCCAGGTAGGACCAGTCTGTGAAGATTGCTGGCCACCGTCTAATTTTTTTGATCTTAGAACAAATGAGGTTGTAGCTTGTGTAGATTTGTTTCTTCTCAATTTTTCTGACCATTTTACTCCTGGTAAGTAGAGGCCTGTAACTGTGTCATAGATGGCCCCTTGCGAAGTTAAAAAAAACAACCATGTGCTGTGTACGTCACTAGGATGTAGGTCACACTATTTTTTGTAAACTGTGTTATGCCAGTTGACTGAGTTGTTCCATGAGATTATATTGGTTCGAAACTTTCAAACCCAGAACACCGATTTTGGAAGCTATTTGGTTGTGTCTTCAGGGGATATGTGTGCCAGCACTTATACAAGGTTGGTGGCATAGTGGATTTATACATTGGGCTGCTACTGTCAAGGTCAGCAGTGTCAAATCAGCATCAGCTGCTGCATAAGAGAAAGATGAGACTTTCTCCTCCTGTAAAGATTTACAGCCTTGGAAACCCACAGGGGTGGTTCTACTCTGTTCTATAGAGTACTATCACTCGGAATTGATTGGATGGCAGTGAGTGAGTATGGTGGCATAGTGGGTGATGAGTTGGCCTGCTAACTACAAGGTCTGCAGTTTGAACCCACCAGTTGCTCCTCAGGAGAAAGTTGAGGATTTCCGTCCCTGTAAAGCTTTGGAAACCTTATATGGGATCACTATGAGTTGGAATCAACTTGACAGCAGTGGAATTTGATTTTGGTATATATAATTTCTATCAGTTCTCACCTACATACACATTTGTTCCTACAGTATACCAGTTTTCCTATATTCTACCAAATGTTTTCAAATGCTCATTTCACTTTGGTTATGTTGTGCTCACTAAATCGATATTTGGTACCATTTTACCCCCACAGAAAATAATTGGTCTTTATTGTAAAAAGTATATTTTAAAAAATGAATAAATACATGAAATTAAGTGTATTTAACCCACCTAACCCGTTTACTGGGAGCCACCATTGAGCATTGGTCTCTGTGTTACTGCTTCCTCTGTTAAAACAGTCAACTTGATGACAGTGGGTGGTGAAAATCCAAAACCCAACTCTCTGCCATCCAGTTGCCTCCGCAAGTATTAGAGTATCTGTTAGAACAGAAATATTGCAGTATATGTCTCTATACGCTTAGTTTATTTAGCATTATGTTTTCAGGCCCATCCATATGATATGTTGTGAGAACTTATAATTCCTTATGGTTGCATAATATTCTATTGTATGTGCCACAGTTTGCTTAGCCATGAGTTGATGAACACTTTACCATCATCTATTCTAAAACTTATCACCTCAATCAAACTATTAAACATAAGTCTCCATTTTTCTTACCCTCAAGCCCCAAACTCACTGGCATCATGTCAATTCTGATTCATAGCAACCCTGTTAGGCTGAGTTTTCTAAATAAAACCAGTGACACTCATGTGCAAGAAAGAAATTCATATCAAGGAAGCAGCCCACCCCATCCCAGAGCTATCCACTGGCATGGAGCAGTGAACTAACAGAGAGGACCATGGGGCCTGGCCCAAACTGAGCTATGTTGACCCTTCCCCAGAAGAAGGCAATACAGAGGACAGCACCGAAGATAGAGCCTGGGGGGAAGAGAGATGGGTCTGTCCTGACCACATGGGAGCGAACTAAGAGAGAGAGAGAGACTGAACCTCATCATGGCCCACCAAGCCCCGGGGACGACATCCCTGCTTGGAGCAGCCAATGCAGAGAGATGACCGTAGGGCTGGCACCACCACAAGACACGACGTTCCCTCACTGACCCTTAGTGCTACAGGGGACAGCACTGGAGACACTGCGGAACGTGTGCCTGGTCTGACCCATGCACAACGGGGTGAAATGTAAGGGGTGTGCAACAGGGCAGCAAGGGGAGCAAAGGAACCAAGTCCCTGAGGTATCCTGGAAATAGACTTCTGACCTGGGGGACAGGGCTTGGCACTTCATCAGACTTGATTGGAAAACATATATAAGGGTCAGCAGACAGACCTGGAACTATCTATTATTTTTGTTTTGTTTTTCTTTTACCCTATGTCTATATAAGACAGGCAGGATGAACAATTGCAAGGAGGAAACAACAGGACTGGGAGTTCCAGGGGGAAATGGGAGAGGAGGGGATGGCAGGGGGAGTGGGGAGTCAACAAACTCTGGAATAAGGGAACAAGAGGTCTAAAATTGATGGGAGTGGGGGGAGAAGCTTATACCAAGGGCTCAAGTAGAAAATGTTCTGGAAATGATGATGGCAACATATGTACCAATATGCGCCATGCATTTGATATATAGAATGTTATAAGAGCTGTAAAGACCCCCAATAAAATTATTTTTTAAAATTTAATCTAAATTGGAAAAAAAGCCCCCACAGACACAGCTGAAAAACCCAGAACAACTTAAGTCTATGGGGTATATGCGAGCTGGATGCCTTTCCTGACTTGAAGGTAATGGAGTGGTTAACCTGGAAACAGGAAGACCCACAGCCCCGTGGTGGCAGAGTCACGGGGATTCAAGGTTGACAGGCAACCTGTCACCTGCCAACAGCTCGCAGGATCAGTAAGCCATATGGTGACCATCATCCCAAGAAACCAGGTACAAGATTCAGGGCATCAGCAGTAAGAAGAGAAAGAGCCATTTCTCCATAGCATCTCAAATAGACCATATCCCCAAGGAGACTTCCTCAGGTTGTGAGCTGATTGAGAGGTTAGACCCATATCTTCAGGTGCAGCCAGGTTGACACAAAACAATCACAGCTGGTAATCTGTAATCTATGCTGTAAACTCTATGGTTGCCCTAGTCTGGATATTTCATATAAATTACCCATTGCTATCGAGTCTATTGTGACTCATAGCAACCCTATTAGGACAGAGTAGATATGTGCCGCACTCCCCCATCCCCCTACCCCCTGTGAATTTCTGAGACTAACTCTTTTTACTGGAGTATTAAGCCCTGTCTTTCTCCACCAGAGCAACTGGTGGTTTCAAACTGCTGACTTGTGGTTAGCAGCCTCTAATGCTTAACCACTGCCACCAGGGCTCCTATTTCATACAAGTGGAACCACACAACCTGCTCTTTTGTGTCTGGCTTCTTTGATGCAGCATAATGTTTTCAAGCATCACCCATGTTGTAGTATATGTTAGAACTTTATTTCTCTTTATGGCTGAATAATATTCCTTTGTATGCACCACGTTTTCTTTATCCATTCATCTGTTGATGGACACTTGGGTGGTTTTCACCTTTCAATTATAGAATTGCCCTTCAGAGATATGTTCTTTTTCCTTTTGCAAAGGAAACCTTGTGTTCTTAATGAATGTGTTTTGCTGCTTTTATACTGCTAAATTTCAAAGTCAGATGCAAATGCCTCTTAAATCTTGTGTTCATAATGCCTTCTCAATTAGATTAGCGATAGTTTTGCTAGGATTGTGGTTCATAGGAAAATAGTGAAGTTAACCAAATAAGTCCTTACATTTTATTTCTAGCTAAAGTTCACATCTTCTTAAATTCCGACCCAATTTTCATGATTTACTAAAGGATGCTGGACCATTTTGTGGTTGATTTGTCACCCATTCGAGGCCCCAGTTCCCTTATTGGGTGTGTACTTGAGTCTTATTGTAATGGCTGCTTCCCAGCTTCCTCTATTTTATGCTCTTTTTAAAAATGTTTTTGCACGGTTAAAATCTGAATTCAGGCATTAATACTTTTAATAAGAATAAAATGAGTTAACATGATTCTAATGTTGTATTACATAATATGTTTTTAAGGTTCCTGCACTCCTAGAAAATCGCGTTCAGGATTCAACTTGTTCTGATTTAGAAGATTCTGGAAGCTCTGATTGCTCTGATGTAGACTCTGAGGAGCAAGGAGATCATGGCCATTCTAAAAAGCATACCACTGACCCAGAACTTGGTAAAAAGGTTAGTTTACAACTTAAATTCCCTGTTTCTTCAACATGATAGTAAAGCCACTCTGATTTCTTCCCCCCCCCCCCTGCTCTGGCATCTAACTAGATTATGATGACTAAGGACATTATGTTACAAATAAAGCAAAACAAAACAAATTCACTGCTATCCAGTTGATGCTGACTCATAGTGACCCTAAAGGACAGGGTCTGTGAGTTTCTGAGACTATAACTCCTTTTTAACAGTTTTATTGATAGTTCATCCACATGTCATACAATCCAATAATTCAATTATATCAAGAAGAGTTATACAATCATCACTGAAATCAATCTTAGAACATTTTCTTGTGCTCATTGTTACTTGTCTTATGTATTTTTTTAAATTGTGGCAGAGACTGTTTACAAGAGTAGAAAGCCCCTTTTTCCTCCTGAGGAGCTGGCTCATGGTTTCAAACTGCTGCTCTTGTGGTGAGCAGCCCCATTTGCAACCACTCTGCCACCAGGGCTCTTAAGGACATTATAAGTACTCGTAATTTAGTTTCAAGGAGCCTTGGTAGCACAATGGCTAAGCACTTGGTTGCTAACAGGAAGGCGGTCACTGTCAACTCACTGGCAGTTTTGCAGGAGGCAAATCCTGATGGTCCACTTGAATAAAGAGTACAGCTTTGGAAACTCACCAGGGAAATTTTGTTCTGTCCTATAAGGTCACAATGGATTAGAATAGACTGGACATCACATAAGAAGCTTAGTTTTAATAGAAGTGTAAACTTTGCTTCTAATGGCAACATTATGTAGACATTTGGCTTCTATTAGGAATTCTTTCGGCATTGCATAGAGATAAGAGAAAACTCAGTACATTGATTAAAAATTTTTATCATTCACATGAAAGAAACATGGTGTTAGAATCGACTCATTGCAAAATACTAACGAACCATTTATCCTTTGTAGTTTAATTCATTTAACCGTATTAAGCTTGGAGCTTAAAACATCTAAGTGACATATTTGACTATTTCTCCACCAGAGATAAACATTTGCCTCCTTCCAACCATTTTTTTCCCTTAGATATTGAACTTACAAAGAAAAGTTGTTGCAACCCACATAACAGCATGAGTGTTATTTCTTATGGCCCTCTTTAAATTTCTATAAAGCCATTTAAACTTCTATAAAGACCATACCCTCCATCCCCAAATTCCACCACCAAACCATCATTGTTTACACTTTCATGTTACACTCCATTTTTCCCCTTCGACGTAAATATTTTTATTTCGTTGTAATAATAGTATATGACAGCTCTGTTAATAAAATTCCTTTTCTACAGGAAAGGAAAAAAATGGTCAAGGAAGCCCAGAGAGAGAAAAGGAAAAACAAAATCCCCAAGCACGTGAAAAAAAGAAAGGAGAAAGCAGCTAAGATGAAGAAAGGCAAATAAAATCAGGAACCCTTAACAGCCATCTCCCATCAGTTACATGAACCCCTGAGGTGCATCTAGAAGATGGGTTCCTAAGTATAACCATATTGTCTCTGGAGACTGCTGAAAGTGTTTTCATGTAATTGTGTCAAAACGTTCAAGTGCTACTATCTAGTTCCAGTCAGCATCTCGGTCTGGTATTGATGGAGCATTTATTTAAGCTACAATTTTAATGAAGGACTTTATACTAGTGATGCCCCCCCCCCCCCAACACACAAATGGATTTTTTTTTTAAAGCTATGTATTT